AGTCGAACGCCAAATATTACATTTAACATTAATTTTTTCATCAACAAAGCATTGCTATCTCGTTTCACATGAAAGTTGTCAAGCATGCTTGTTACACCAATAAGAACATCTAAAGAACAGATTTTTTAAAATCTATTTACTATTTATTTTGAATTTATTTTTCATCCGACATCGCCACCAGCATTATAGGGGGATCTGACGGGGGCACTACTGTTGCGCGACTCGTCAGAGTGCATAGTCAGTGTGGGAAGCTCAAGGCCAGTCCAACTAGAGCGTTGGGTAGCTCGGCCATGGTGGCGATGAGGAAGGACCATTCTGGCACCATCGACGGGCATGGGCTCGCTCACGGGGCTCCATCTGCTTCCTCAATCTTATGCGGCTCCATTTTCAACCACGGTAGGGATCGGCGACGACGGATATAGCCTTTGGGATGGCGACATCAATGACGGTGAATTTGGCCGAATCCAACATTAACACCGGAGGAGAAGGTCAGAGAAAGCGTGTTGAGGTTGTGGCAAGGCCGAGGGATGGTGCCACGGGCAGCGAGGTGGTCCCGAGGGGCTGCCGACCGCAAGGTGGGTGGTATGCAAACATGATTAGGCATGCCAAAAATGATTTTTTTATTTCCAAGGCAATAAAAAGAACATTGTTTTGACATGGAAAATGTTGGAATTTTTTGTAGATGAGACATGAAGAAATTAGCAATTTGTTTTCCTACAAACATTTCATAAATTGCCACGGGAACACAAGTTAGGGATTGGCAAGGGGAAATTGAAATTGATTTCCGAAGGCAATAAAAGGAATCTTGATCACCATGTGAAATGTTGGAAACGAAGTGTAGATGAGACATGGCAAAATTACCAATTTGTTTTCCTAAAAAAACATTTCAAATTTGCCATGGGTAACACTTGTTATCATGCCGTCACAATTTGTTTTCGTAAAAAGCAATTCGTTTTATATACATTGTGATTTTGTAAAAAAAAAAGTACTGGTCACACGACAAATTTATAACATTTCCAAACATGGAAATTATATATATTTTCATAATGTCCACATGACAATTTTATGAATTTTTCAAACATGGACATTTTTATTTATCCATGGAAAGTTTAAATTTTCATAATGTCCAACTGACTTTTGTGTGTTTTTTTCTTTTCGTCAGAAAGGTGCTCGGTAGGCCTGTCATTGGGCCTGTCGGGCCGCTAGGATTTCTTCAGTGATAAAAAAGGGAAACAGTTGAGGCGGAGCTGCCGTGTATCTCCGTGGAGGAAACTCCGTGAAGTAGCGGCAGGGATCTCTCTGTCCCTCCCCTCGCCGTCTCTGGCTTTCCGCGCCGGCGGCGGCGGCCCCCTCCTCTTCTTCTGTCAGAAGAGTTCAGCCCACCACATCTCAAGCAAACCATGTACTGTACCACCTGACAACCGTCTCCTTCGCCCATTGCTGAGGAGGAAGCTGGTGCTGCACATCACATGTTTGTTGTAATGCCCTGCCCATGTTCTTGGTAGAATTCAACGAAGGACCTGCTTAAATCTTCGCCACCTTTTCTCTTTTCCTTCCTCTCATTGGTCCAGGCAGAAGGAGGTGCACGCGTGGAGCGGCGGCGGAGCGGAGCTGACGCCTAAACGCGGCTGCCCCGAGGTCTACCTTTACCCCCTGGCCTCCTGTAGCTTGTTTTGCAGCTATACAGAGTCCAGTCCACCATGGTCTCGACCAAACATTCACCGTTTGTTTGTTTGGTCCTCTCGTCTTGCATCAAGCTACTTGGAGGTAGCTGTTGTTGCACATCACATGTTTGTTCTGATGCCCTGCCCTTGTTCTTGTTAGAAACCAAGGATTGTTGCTGAACAACATCCAGTGCTTTTTGTTAACATTAGCTCTTTCTGTATTCCCACGAGCATTTTGTTTCAATCTGTCAAGACTCAAGGGATGGGAGATTCACTCCTCCGGTGTTGTTGCTGCACATCACATGTTTGTTTTAATGTCCTGCCATCGTTCTTGGTAAAAAGCAAGGATAGCTACTTGCTTAACAAAGTCTAGTACTTCTTGCTATGTGTTTACATTAGTTTGGTCAAGAGATGGAAGATAGACTGGATGTCTGAATCCCACTTCTGTCGACCTTTATCTATATAACTGAAAGCGTTCAGTAGAGTTGTGTGGCCAGGTCACTCTTGACCGATCTGCAGTAAACGTGTATTAGGCCCTCATCTGAACCAAAAACTGGTCTCGGATTAGCACTAGCAGCACGACCTAGCAAAATAGCAAGTGCTGATGTACCCAACTTCATGGACCAGTCTCTGCACGCCTTTTTCTCTCCGCTTTTTCATCGAGTCACCGTCTCATTTCTCATCCACTTTTTGTTCTACCACTGAGTGTTGGTCTGTGACGTGTGATGGAGATTACAGGCAAGTCAACACCAAGTCAAGTAAAGGTCGCGGAAAATAAAACACTCAGTAAACTAGTCAAGTGTTCAAGTCTACTTAGGGAGACACATATAACACAAGGAATTCGCACAAGATGCACTGCATCTGCATTAGACATGGCACCTGCAACAACTCTCCGCTCTCTTTCTCCATATGGCATCCTCGTTCTCTTCACCCATCTTCTCATATTGTTCTGGTCCAACACCGTCGCACAATCCGTCAGCAACGGGTCCGAGGTCGACCGGCATGCCCTCCTCTCCTTCAAGTCCAGCATCTCCAGTGATCCGCGTGGTGTCCTGTCATCATGGAGCACCTCGACCAGCTTCTGCAGCTGGAGAGGTGTCACCTGCGGTATTACTCTTCCAACTCGTGTGGTCTCGCTGAACTTGAACTCTAGAGAACTTACTGGGCAGTTATCTCCTTGGATAGCTAATCTTACGTCACTAGAACAGTTAGACCTTTCAGAAAATCTCTTCTCTGGAGGCATTCCAGAGGAGTTAGGCACACTTCGACAGCTACAGTTTATGATCCTTTCAACGAACAACCTTGTAGGTACCATTCCTAGATCATTAGGCACTAGTAGATCTCTTAAAAGTGTTGATCTCTCATTAAACCAGCTTGTCGGCCCTATCCTAGATTTCCATAAGATGTCAACCCTTCAATTTCTTGATCTTTCAAGTAACAACCTTTCTGGAAGCATACCTTCATCATTGGGAAATGTTTCTTCTCTCACAGATATACGGCTTGACACAAACAGGTTATCGGGTTCAGTTCCAGAGACCTTGAGCCTTATTCAGAACCTTAGTATTCTCAGTTTAAGTAACAACTACCTGTCAGGGCACGTCTCCACCAAACTCTGTAACATGTCATCACTCATTTATCTTGGACTAGACCAGAATAACCTTACTGGACGAGTACCATCTTGCATTGGAAACACGTTACAGAACCTTGGATTGCTGGCCATGTCGGGTAACAAATTTGAGGGATTAATTCCATCATCACTAGCAAATGCATCAAACCTCCAATATATTGATCTTGGACACAACTTACTAAAGGGACGAATCCCATCTCTAGGGTCTCTATGTAACTTAACCTTTCTAAATTTAGGAAATAACTTCCTACAAGCTGAAGATTGGGAATTCCTTGTCTCTTTGACAAACTGTGCGCAACTTAAAACATTGGATCTGAATGGAAATGCCCTGAATGGAAATATCCCTATATCAGTTGGAAATCTTTCTAGAAGTTTAGTGCGTTTAATTCTTGGAAACAATCAAATTGCCGGCACAATACCAGTTGAGATTTTTAACTTTCGAAGCCTCCAAATGCTTGCTATGGGCCAAAACTTGCTTTCCGGTGTTATTCCCTCTCTTATTGGGAATCTAGGCCATCTGATTGTCCTAAACCTATCAGGAAACAAATTTTCTGGCCAGATCCCATCTACAATAGGTAATCTTTCTCGGCTGAACAAGCTTTATCTACACAACAATGAGTTGAGTGGGAACATCCCAGCAACTTTAGGAAATTGCAATCAACTGTATATGCTAGAAGTATCTTTTAACAGCCTTGAAGGACCAATACCAAGTGAACTCTTCAATGGCACAACCCTGATCGGTTTGGATTTGTCAAACAACTACCTTACAGGATCAATACCACTACAAATTGGTGGATTGATTCAACTTCTCCGACTCGATATTTCCTTCAACAAATTGTCTGGTCAAGTTCCACTTTCATTTGGCGAATGCGTTGAACTATCTTCTCTCAGATTGAGAAGTAACATGCTTAATGGAAGCATACCTCGATCATTCAGTAACCTGAAGTCCATCGAGCAGATTGATCTTTCCCAGAACTCCCTTGTTGGAAAAATTCCAGAGTTCTTTGCAAACATGGATTATTTGCAGCAACTTGATCTGTCTATGAACTACTTTGAAGGGCCGATTCCAACTGGTGGCATCTTTCAGAATCATAGTGCGGTAAACTTGGAAGGCAATGATGAGCTTTGTGCAAGTGCAGCCACCACCTTATATCAATTCCCAGTTTGCACAACAACATCAGCTGTTGGGAGCAAGAAGAATGCACTCTTATTGGTAAAAGTAATTCCTCCCGTTGCCATTGCCCTGATCTCTTTCATATGCTTTGTGGTCACTCTTCTGAAGAGAAGGCAAGCAGAAACAACTACATGCTACAAGGAGACAATGAAGAAGATTTCTTATGGTGACATCGTCAAAGCTACCAATTGGCTCTCTCCGATTAACAAGATCAGTTCAAGTCGCACCGGCTCGATCTACATTGGAAGGTTTGAGTTTGACACGGACCTGGTCGCTATCAAGTTATTCCATCTCGAAGAGAATGGTGCGCGCGACAGCTTCGCTACCGAGTGTGAGGTGCTGCGAAACACCCGTCATCGCAATCTTGTCAAAGCTGTCACCGTATGCTCGACAGTGGACCCAGAGAACAATGAATTCAAAGCTATAGTTTTCGACTTCATGGCCAACGGAAGCCTGGACATGTGGGTCCATCCTAAGCTACATCACAATAGCCCGAAGAGAGTACTAAGCTTGGGCCAGAGGCTAAGAATTGCGATGGACGTTGCGCTGGCTCTGGATTATATGCACAACCAGTTAACTCCTCCTCTGATCCACTGTGATTTGAAGCCCGGAAATGTTCTTTTGGATTATGACATGACTGCAAGGGTTGGTGATTTTGGGTCAGCAAGGTTTCTCCCTTCAACTCCTGGTAGCCCAGAAGACTTGGTTGGTGTGGAAGGAACAATAGGTTACGTCGCACCGGGTGAGTTCAACTATATTTAGAGTATTTTGTCATTGGTTTTTTTCTCTTGTATTAACAATGCCCTAAATGATTTTACAGAGTACTGCATGGGATACAAAGTTTCACCAGGATGTGATGTTTATGGTTTTGGAATCCTCATTCTAGAAATGCTCACGGGAAGGCGACCGACGGATGCAATGTTCACCGGTGGCCTGAGCCTGCACAAGCTTGTGAGCTCAGCATTTCCAAGCAGACTGGGAGAGGTTTTAGATCCCCATTTGTCCCACGAGCAGCAGCGTGCGTGTGACAGAGTGCTTATGCGGAGATATATGGTACCTCTGGTTGAAGTTGGCCTCCTGTGTTCCATGGAATCGCCTAAAGATCGACCGGGAATGGGAGAAGTTTGTGCCAGAATTCTGTCTCTCAAAGAGGCATTCTTTGAGTTCTGCTGATTAACCTGCAGATCTACAAGTTCATGAATAAGAGTATAAGATGTGAATATCTTTGCTGTAAAAATTGGTTCTACAGACCACATTTTAGTGTGGGAAGATCATCAGAAATCTAGTTATCAAAATATTGAATTCCAAGAAAGTACATGTTCAGTATTGGAGCTCCCTATGTTTGGAAAAACTAGTATCTGTATTCTATTAGACATGGTATTTTAGAAACTGAGTTCATGTGATCCCAATTATTAATCTGCGTACTCAGAGAAGTATATTGCAGTACATATGCGCATTTGCACGTTTTTGTGAGATTGTATTATTAATAATTCATTGCCCTGGATTTCTGAGAACTGATTTTTGGTTCTTGATAAAAATGAAGTTTAAACAGTACACCTGTTAACCTGTCTTTTGAACTGATACACCTATTAACTTTCATATGGTTGCAGAGTATCTCCAACTGAACCTACTTGTCCGGGGACACTTTCAAACCCTTATTTGAACCCTTATTTGTTCGTGTGCATGCAGTTGTATCCCCCTAAATTATGCGGGCACATGCATATCATTGATGGGGAGGGAGAGCGAAAGTGATCCGGGGTGAGCTGCATCCGATGTGGCGGTGTGTCCGGATGTACGATTTGATAGCTCTAGTTGGATGGTGTTTTTCTTTCTCTCTTATCCAAGAAAATATCGTCCATCCGAACATATGAGGAGGAAACAGGAGTCGCGGTGATTCATGTATGAGCTCATGCTCATGTATGCTTGATGAACAGTAAATTGAAAAATATTTAAAAGATATGAACTTTTCTAACATCAAAGATGCTTGGCTGCACAAAATTTTGTGATGTTTGGACATTTAAGGACCTGAACAGAAAAAAAACCCAGCTCCAAACAATGCTCCTATTCAAAGTTTTTTTCACGGTTAAATATGCTTTTGTCACGACATCATGGAATGTCCGAACACCACGAATGTTGCCAACCACATCACACGCTAGGGCATCTTTCGATGCCAAAAAAAAAAACAGTTTTCTTACGCTATTTTATTTGATTTATTCACTGTTTGTCACACTCATCCAGCTGAAGATGCTCTTAGTTTCTGTTGCGGCTAGAGGCACTGAGGCCGATTTCGATGCACCTCAACCAGTTACCAGTCCCCCTCCCCTCGCCACGTCAACGAGCGGCCGCCGCGGCCTCCCGATTCCGCGCGGATCGCTGCGCCTCGCCGGCGTCGCCCCCACCTACCCGCCGTCGCCGCGCCTCCCCCGGGGTTCCTTCTTCCCGGGCCCGCAGCCGCATCTCGTCGGATTCAATCCGCTGTTCAGTTAGCGGGGCTAGCCCTCGCCGCGGCGGCTCCCGGGCTCTGGCAGATTCCCAATCCGCCATGCTGAAATGGATGAGATTCGACTGTCCGTCTGAAATCCCGTTCAGTTAACCAAGCATTTTTCAATCATCAAGCATGATAGCGCAATGCTGACTGAATTGCAATGCAGCGTCGTTGTTGCTGCAGAGGAAGAAGGGATGCACGAGCGAGCCGTTTGGATTTGTTTGTGCGATCTGGGTGGACAAACGTGTCGTCCGAAGGGATCTCACCACTCCAGCCAGAGTTCGATGCTGCTGTTGGCAGTCCTCTGCACCCACCACAGCCAGTTCTGCCAGTCGCAGTCTGCAGCAGTCCACACGCGTTTTCGTTCAGAGGTCTTTGTTCAACTCCTCTGCTTGTCCTTTCCCTTGCTTTGCACACACGTTCACATTGACCTACGGTGCAGTCAAAAGCCTGCCTTCTGGTCCATGTCTGGTCCCCAAATCCTTCAAAAGTCATCCTTCACCCAAGATCATACAAGCTCAAACCTTAGCACTCCCTGTTGTTCTTGCACATCGGCATTATGCCCTCTCTCTTGTCTCTACTCTGTATTTTGCTTAGCCTTTTCTCCTTCGACACATCGGCATTAGCTGCATCACAAGCAAACATGTCAGAGATCGATCGCCAAGCCCTACTCTGCTTCAAGTCTGGCATCAGCTTCGATCCCTTTGGCATCCTACACTCATGGAGCAATGGTTCGCTCAACTTTTGTAGCTGGAAAGGGGTCACCTGCGGCAAAAAAATTCCACCACGGGTGGTCTCTTTGGACCTCACATCTGCTCGTCTCGGTGGGCGGTTATCTGGATGTGTTGGTAACTTGACTTTTCTATCCTTGATGAACCTTGCCGATAATTATCTGCCGGGAACCATCCCCGGAGAATTGGGTAAGCTTCCAAACCTCCATACACTGAATCTTGCTGGCAGCAACCTGGAAGGTAACATCCCTGAATCACTAGGCACTAGCAATTCACTTAGCTATGTCAATCTTGCAAACAACAGCCTTACCGGTGGCATCCCTGTCTCACTGGCCAATAGCGTCTCACTCAGTACACTTATACTGTCACGTAATAACCTCTCTGGAGAGATCCCTTCTGTTTTGTTTGATAATTCATCTAAGCTTACCGTGGTTGATCTCCAGAAAAATTCTTTCACTGGTCCCATCCCACATTTCCATACGGTCACAACTCTCAAATTTCTTTGCCTGACAGAGAACTTCCTCTCCAGAAGCATACCTCCATCATTAGGAAATGTTTCTTCCCTCAGTTCTATATTCCTTGGCCAAAATAGGTTATCTGGATTAATTCCAGAGACTTTGAGTCACATTACAAAACTGCTTGAGCTTGATCTAAGTTTCAACAGTTTATCAGGGAGTGTCCCGTCGTCTATTTACAACATGACATCACTAAGGTACTTTAGCGTAGGCAGCAACACACTTGTTGGACAGATACCATCTCACATTGGTTACTCACTATCAAACCTCCAGTTGCTTATCCTGGGAAGCAACAGACTGAAGGGCCTGATCCCTGCTTCACTAGCCAACATGTTAAATCTTTAAATACTTGATCTTTCAAACAACTCGTTACATGGCTCTGTTCCATCTCTTGGTTCGTTGGCAAACTTGCATGAGTTGGATTTAGGGAGTAACTTGCTAGAAGCACATGACTGGTCATTTTTTACATATCTAGCAAATTGCACCCAGCTCACAAAGCTGTCCTTGAAAGGGGATGTTCTAAATGGCAGCCTACCTATATCAATTGTTAATCTTTCCAGGAGGTTAGAATATTTATCGCTTGGGTCAAACCAAATTTCAGGCTCCATACCTGTAGAGATTGGCAATCTTGTTAATCTCTTTTCGCTTGGGATGGAAAGCAATTTTCTTTCTGGAAGCATACCTTCTTCCATCGGCAAGCTATGAAACCTCTATATCCTAAATCTGTCAAAGAACAAATTATCAGGTCAGATTCCTCCCTCAATTGGTGATGTTACTCAACTTGCTGAACTTTACCTTGATGGTAACAACTTGAGTGGAAATATACCTGGTAGTTTAGCCCAGTGCATGGGGCTTTTTGAACTAAACTTGTCTCAAAACAATCTTGATGGCTCGATACCAGTCAGACTTTTTGCCGACCTTCTATTCGCCTGGAGTCTGGACTTCTCACACAACAATCTCACAGGGGAACTACCACCGGTACTTGGTACATATGGCATTGGTAGTGGTCTAGTGTCCCTTCACATGGAAGGAAACAGGTTTCATGGACAAATTCCAGAAAGATGGCATCTATTAGTATCAACCCGGCAGATTAATCTTTCTCACAGTGGCTTATCCGGTGTCGTGCCCAAATTCTTTGAGCAACTTGATAAGCTGGAGCAACTTGATCTCTCTTACAACAACTTGGAAGGGGCTGTTCCTGCAAGTGGTATCTTCACGCATTCTGCTGCAGTAGTTTTGGATGGCAACAAGGGACTCTGCTCAAATTCCCCCAGGCTAGCGTTACCAATTTGTCCTGGCATCTCAGGTTCAGCAACTAAAGTGAAGCATCATCTGTCATTGCTGGTGACCTCGCTGCTAATTGTACTACCACCACTTACTATTGGTTCCCTAGTCTTGATATGGTTTATGCTCACTATTTGGAAGAAAGGGTCGTTTCCATTTTCACGATGGGATCTTGTGTCCAAGATGTTTCCTAATAGAAGAGAAGTGCATACAGCCCCGTGCCATGACGAGAAGAAGCTGAAGAGAGTGTCATACGAGGACATTCTTAAAGCTACCAACTGGTTTTCTTTGGTCCATACTATCAACTCAACTTGTACTGGTTCAGTTTATGTTGGTAGGTTCAAGTCCGACAAGAGCCTAGTTGCCATCAAAGTATTCAACTTGAACGAACCTGGTGGATATGAGAGTTACCTTATTGAGTGTGAAGTGCTCCGAAGCACCCGCCATAGAAATATAATGCGACCTGTGACCCTATGCTCAACATTGGATTCACAAAACCATGAGTTCAAAGCACTAATCTTCGAGGTCATGGTTAATGGAAGCCTGGAGGCATGGTTGCATTCTGAGCAGCACAATGGAATTCTAGACAAAGTGCTAAGCTTTGGCCAGAGGATATGCATAGCAGCAGATGTGGCTTCTGCTCTTGATTATGCCCACAATGAACTGACGCCTCCTTTGATCCATTGTGATTTGAAGCCAAACAATGTCCTTTTGGATGATGACATGACTGCGCGGCTCAGTGACTTTGGCTCAGCAAAGTTTCTATCACCAGGTGTAGTAATTCCTAAAAGCCTGCATGATGTTGGAGGGACAATTGGATACGTGGCACCTGGTGAGCTTTACCTTTTCCGTTTCCACTTAATTATAGTTTGTCTTGTATATGTGTATTATCTTAACATATTACTTCTTCACAGAGTACAGAATGGGCTGCGAGATCTCCGTAGGCGGTGATGTGTATAGTTTCGGAGTGCTTCTACTGGAATTGCTTACTGGAAAACGACCTACCGATGATATGTTTGTGGATGGACTTAGCCTTTGTAAGTTCTGTGAATCTAAGTTCCCAGACAGAGTTGCAGAGATTCTTGATCCTCATATGGCGCATGAGGAGCATCAAGGGTGCGCAGAAGGATGGATTCAGAGATATATTGTCCCCTTGGTTGCCCTTGGGCTGTCATGTACGGTGGAATCTCCGAAGGATAGGCCCGGAATGAAAGATGTTTGTGCAAAACTTTCTGATATTAGAGCCTCTTTTCTTTAGCTGTCATGATGATTAATGAATATATCAATTATGTTAGAGCATACTGATTCATTATATTAAGAATGTGTTTTTTTACTGGTACAGTGCATATTGTACCCAATCTATTTGACAAACTGAAACGAACTGTGTATGTGATTTGCAGTTAGTCATGGTAGGATATTGGAAATATCAACCATTCTTTGTTCCAGAGTTGTTGATTATTTTTTATTTTGATATTGACGTGTATGTATTGTCAAATTCTTGCACTAATTTATTTGCAAAGGGTGTATGTGAAGGTGTTTTCCGATGAAATAATATGTTTAATTTACAGCTTGACGGGTAATATTCGAAGGATATGTCTTAAGGTTGCATCCTGCATCAGTAGCCAATTATAAAGTAAACAAAGATATTCATATGACATAACGAACAATCCTCTTTTGCTCTCAAAGACTCAAACTTTTATCTCCTTGCATTAATGAGGTTGCATATGCTTGAGTTATACATGGCCTCTAGCCATTATTGTTAAATATTGAAAGGAATGAAATTCCTGAATAAGTTTTTTACGTCAGGTGAGGAACACTAAAGAGACCCATGATGGTGTTACTTGAAAGGGATGAAATTACTGAATAGGTAGACAAGTATGGGCAAGACAGATAAAACTTCTTTTTTTCGCTGGAGATGACACCAAAGACTGTTGACAAAAAAATTAGTAACATAAAACTAATGTTGTATGATCCATCATTGCACTGCCAGTGCGAAGGCATTCATTTAAGCCAATCTTGAATCTCCATGACACTGTTCTTCGGTAGGTGCAGTGTGAGTGTGTGCCCTTATACTCACTGTTTTTCCAAAACCATTCTCGTAACCATTTAGGTTTTAATATGAAATGACCTTTTTTCTAGCAAAGTTTTCATTAACGCAAGCCGCGCCCGGGGGGGGGGGTGCGGGGTGGGTTGATACTGTACGTTTATTCACAAAGCTACACAAACATATATGCAAACTTGATTAGGATAAAACATTTATAATGATATGATGTAATTATAGTTGGAAAAAAATGTGTATTGGTTGATTACTTACTGAGTTCCATATAGTATGTTTATAAGTGATACTGTACGTTTATTCACAAAGTTTCAATAAGCATGAGTTGGCCAAAAAGATCCATATAGTGAATAGAAGCTTGAATGGCAAAGAAAAAAAAACAAGGGACACGGTGATTTCGTTACACAAGAAATGCAACTTTGCCAAAAAGATTGGTAACAACTGAATCCATAAAGTGATCACTTATGCTTCGGTGTACACCCCCCCCCCCTCCCCTGCGCGCGCTAAAC